ATTTTCGCCCGGATCTCAACTTTTAGGTTTTTGTCAAAATTTATACACGCGAAGTTCTTGAATGATCATCTTAGGGGGCGCTGCTTACGTTATATATAATGCGTTATATTTTAAATAAAGTGAGATCCAAATAAACGGCAACGTTGTAAAGCGGTACTCTCGCTTTAAAGTGCGATAGCAAATAATGAAAGAGGTAGCTGTACTATGTGCTCTTTAACGTAAATAATTTGTTATCTGCCACCTCGTATGTATTATTCCTAATCCACGTTACGGTATAAGGGCGGATTTGTATTAAAGAGATTAAACTGGTGGATTGAGGAGAAATGTAAAATAACGTTTAGTATATTTTAATAAACACATTAAATTAATAAATTAATAATTAAAATAAGAGGGTCATAATGGATTCTAAGGGTATCGAAACTATAAGCTAGGAACACACCTACCACGGTGCCCAATAAGGGAATTTGATACACTTTCGATGACCACCTGTATTTTGATCAAAAGATGTCAAAAACGTTAATTTCTATACCAAGTTCATCGGGAAAAGAACCAAAGATATTACAGCGCTGTCTAAATTTGGTAAATTGTTTATGATTGATTTTACCAATTAGGTATCCTACGCGTAGTGGAAGAGAGGTACAAAGCAGTTTTATTCTGATTTCTTCGGGTTTGGTGTTTACCTACACATGATTGCAGGATAAGTTCGATGTTTTTGAACTGAAATTGTCACCTCCATGATTTGAACCAATTTGACTAACCAAAACATCTTTCTTCAAAAATGAACTTTTTACAGATTTCGTTACGAAATACTGAACAACCTAATGGTTTAGGTACATGTAATCATAAGCAAATATCTTTAGGGTTCTTGGGATTGCATTTTACTAACCAGGCAGCATACACAGTACTGGAAGAGAGATAAGAAAGCAATTTGATAATGAGTTCTTTGGATTTGGTGTTTATACATGATTGTAGGATGAATGAGATGTTTTTGAACCAAAATGGCCACCTCCATGGTTTGAACCAATTTGACTAACCAAGGCACCTTTCTTAAAAAATGAACTTTTTGCAGATTTCGTTACGAAATACTGAACAACCTAATGGTTTACATGTAAAATCATAAGCAAATAACTTTAGAGTTCTTGTAATTGCTTTTTACCAACCGCACCATACGATACTGGAAGAGATAAAAAAAATCAATTTGATAATGATTTCTTTGGATTTGGTGTTTATACATGATTGGAGGATGAATTAGATCTTTTGAACCAAAATGGTCACCTCCATGATTTGAACCAATTTGACTAACCAAGGCACCCTTCTTAAAAAATGAACTTTTTGCAGATTTCGTTACGAAATACTGAACAACCTAATGGTTTACATGTAATCATAAGCAAATAACTTTAGAGTTCTTGTGATTGCTTTTTACCAACCGCACCATACGATACTGGAAGAGATAAAAAAAATCAATTTGATAATGATTTCTTTGGATTGGGTGTTTATACATGATTGAAGGATGAATTAGATGTTTTTGAACAAAAATGGCCACCTCCATGATTTGAACCAATTTGACTAACCAAGGCACCTTTCTTAAAAAATGAACTTTTTGCAGATTTCGTTACGAAATACTGAACAACCTTATAGTTTACATGTAATCATAAGCAAATAACTTTAGAGTTCTTGTGATTGCTTTTTACCAACCATGCACCATAAGGTACTAGAAGAGAGATAAGAAAGCAATTTGATAATGAGTTCTTTGGATTTGGTGTTTATACATGATTGTAGGATGAATTAGATGTTTTTGAACCAAAATGGCCACCTCCATGGTTTGAACCAATTTGACTAACCAAGGCATATTTCTTCAAAAATGAACTTTTTACAGATTTCATTACGAAATACTGAACAACCTAATGGTTTACATGTAATCATAGGCAAATAACTTTAGAGTTCTTGTGATTGCTTTTTACCAACCGCACCATACGATACTGGAAGAGATAAAAAAGCAATTTGATAATGATTTCTTTGGGTTTGGTGTTTATACATGATTGTAGGATGAATACCTATGCATGAACAATTTTGAAGCATTTCAGATAATGCCAAAAAATTATTACATTAATTATAATGGTGGTGTAAAGTGAGTTTGAATTGGGTCCTTCAATTCAAAGATGTAGACTTATACACCGCTATCAGCTGTTAGAAAAATAAAATAATCATTTCCAACGGGAACTCTTTCCTTTAATAAATAGCTAATCGTTAATATTTATCATCGATGTAAAATAGAGTATTACACTAGATATTATTTAATTAAATGTTATAATGTTTCAAGCCCCGGGTGCCAAATAATGTTAACGCACCGCTTTATCGAAGAAAGAATACGCGAAGGAATCCTACAGGAAGGCTAACAACCTGTTAAGTATTCGCAAAAGATAACGAAATCTATTTTTAGAACAAGTACATTTGACAACACCGCATGATCTCTCCTTATCACACCAATGTCATTTTATACACTATATGATCTCTACTTAAGTGTATTTATTTTTGGATCTCATCCTAACTGCTTTTTATATGGATAATTTTAATTGTAGAATTCTTTTCCCCTCTATAGGGGTAATGATAGAAGAACATATTTCATGTCGTTGGCAACCCATTATACACGCATATTTTTAACTTTAAAGGGGGATCTCAGGTTATCCTACTATTATCCGGATCTCGACTTACATCAATATATATATATATATATATATATATATATATATATATATATATATATATATATATATATATATATATATAATTAAATTTCCTTCAAGTCTAACGTTACCATTTGTAAGAGGATAACGAAACACACAAATCACTGAACTCGGTCTTTACTTTCAGTACTTACGATATTTTTAAAAACAAGTGACCAACCCACTATACCATTTTGGATACCCTTAAATAATACAGCAATACAGAAACTTTAAGTATAATGAATGTTGTCTAGAACGCATGATGTCGCTATATGTTACGAGTTTGGATTTATGTGTGGTGGCGCGGAAAGGAGACTCTCCTCTCTTCGATTAAGGTTCGTAATGCGGAAGAAGATGACTTATTCATTTTAGGGATATTAAATATTGCCTTTACATGGCTACTAATTGTAAGATTTTTGTTCTCAAACCTATTAAGAAGTAATTTCCACGCAATAGCGTGATATGAGAATGTAGGAAATTGAAGGAACAGGGGTATTATTGGAGGAGGTTAAAAGAAGAGAAAAATGGACGAATGGAACAATAGAAACAAAATACGAAGAATCGAATACAATTGACAGGGGAATTTTTTTAATCAGCTCGTATTCGGAAACACGACTTTTAATCGGTGCATATTCAATAGCGTTTCGTTCTCAAGTTAGACGAGGAACAGAAGGACGGACAAAACCATCAAGTAAAGGGAATTTTTTTCTTTCGAAAAATTCCTCTAAAAAGGGAGGAAATGCAGAAAATATAAATGTAGTTAAGTAAACAGTTTTTGTGAATTGGCGTAAATAAATATTTATCTATTTATTACAGAAGTTTGCTTATATGTTTAAACGTGGTGTGACTTCCTTGTTGGCTAGAACGCCAGAGAATAAAATTGGAAGTGTAGGTATCTATCTATACCACTGCCTACTATTAATAGTAATTATAATCTCTTTGATACTCCTGAGTGCAATCAAAGTGACTTTTGACAAAACGAGCTCTTTAAAACGAATGTACTCTTATAAGTATATATTTCCATTTACAATTATTTCACATATTTTGGGGTTAAAAATTTTTTTGGACACGATTTAGATGTTTTAACAAAATGACAAAATAAATGGAAATACAATCAATTAGATAGTTGTGGTGCTTTTATGAAAATAACCAACTAAACAATTGAGTTTGTATAGTGCTCTTAAAAAAAATCGAATAAAACTGTGACATTGTATTCGTTGATAAATGGTTTTTCTTCGTTCGGAGTTTCCAGTAAACGCACGGGGCTCCTCCATTTAAGTATTACATCCACACACATAATAAAGTAACATTCTTTCCTGAAAAAGTTCTTCAAAGGTTAATCGTTAATTATGGATTGAATGTATTTTCTTTAAACTTTCGTAATTAACACCGAGATCGTTTTAAAGTTTCATTAAATCATTTTAATTGTTATTACAACCATGAAACGTTTTGAAACTTCCGTATTATTAAAACTTTATGATTTACTTTTATAATATTTTGATTTAATTAAAATTTCAAGTTAGATTTTCACACGATCGTATCTGAAGGATCGGCATCAAGATTTAAGTGTAAAATAGCACTGGCCTCGTAGATAAAGTCTATGGGTTGTTATAGTAAAGTAGTTGAATCTTTATCCAACTAGCACGCCTCTTAAATTAAATTACCGTGAAAACTTTGTAATAATATTCGGTATGACATTCTATGTTCTTTTTTATGAAACAAAAATAAAAGATCGATTTTACTTTTCAGTACAGGCATTGAAATACCTCGCGCTTCACTAAAAGTTCTTCCGTTTAGTGTATGCGAGATGCGATATTAGTGATAATAATGCAATAATTATTGCACAACATAATCAAATTATAATTACAGGACAATTATTAATAATACAGAGAGATGGCCAGTCAAAAAAGAAATTAAGTGAATGTAAACCTTGGTTCTAACTAGTAACTAGTGAATTAATTACTAGTAAAATAATTAGTAAATTAATGACCTGATTGAATAGGACGTTGTATACTGATTTTTTCTGCTATTTTCTAGTCACGTATGAAATATCCAAATTGTCCTCATTTTAAAACATAAACAGAGAATACTGAAATTTCAAACAGCACTTCAAGACTACTATTTAAAATAAATAAATAACAAGAATGTTAATAACGTTATTGGTTTTTGACATCATGACGGGTGCTTTCCTGGAAAATGGCTTAAATTGGTTGATGGCAGAGTAATCCATTTTTTGTATAAAAAATTTGTATGGTTACACTATCTTTTCTGTTTCAGGGTCCCGTGCCAAAGGTAATTGTGATGGGCTCAAGCACAACTTCGGAAACGACACTCAACACAAGCACCGACAGCTCTAACACAATTGTAACGACAATGACCGTTACTGATGGTGACAACACGGAAGACAGTTTGGACATAACGGAGCCGATCGACATACTAAATTCCGAAAATAGCACTGACAGCACGAAGACGTGCAGCCAAATTTTGCAGCCGACCCCTGTTTCTCCCAAAACGCCGAGTACGGCGAAACAAGAAACTAAATTTACGTTTGATGTAGACTCTCCACCGAAAACCGCATATTTAAAAACTGAACAGTTTGTATTCGACGTTCCAGTTCAGCAGACGCCCGCCAGCAAAGCAAAAAATGTGGACGAATTGATGCAACAACAAGTGGACGCTCTACGACAAGAAGCAAGGCGGAGAAATAGTTATCGAGCGGCGCAACACAACTACAACTCCATTGACATCGCATACCACAACGTGCTGGTTCACAGAAGGCATAGCGAGTTCGACAGTCAAAGATCAACGCCTGAACATAATGCAGCAGCAAAAGAGCGTAGAAGTTACAGACGAAAAATCGATACCCACGAAGACTCCCCGGGTGCAGACAAGTCGTCGAAAGAAGCGATCACAAAGAACGGCCGAACTTCCCCAAAACATTCCAAGTTAGATCCAACAGTAGATACGTCTACTGAATCACAAGATGAGACGCTTTCCACAAAGCCGAGGCAAAGGCATAAAAGAGGAAGTAAGCGCCACAGCTCCCCCAACAAACATAAAGGTGATAAATTTTCGTACGACGAAAAACATCTGGCAAAGTACCGTTCGACACCCCCCGATTTGCGCGTTGACTATTTTAACGAACATCCGGAAAAATGCCCGACAGGAACGCTTATTCCTTTGCCGATGGAGAAACGGGGGAGTGTATGCTTAAATAAGTGTTTGCGTGAAGTGGGTGCCCAGTTGGATCCCACCGTTACGTCGCCGATAAACGTAACTACGAATCCGTTAGATAGTTCCATTCGTATCGGTAATCGGAAAGTGCCGCAAGCAACAATAGTCGTACAGCAGGCCTCGCTTAGCTCCGAGCAGGGAAATGTTTCGACCGTGTTGCTGAGGAACGGTAGTGAGTTCGTCTCGAATGTTGAAAGTGCGGGCAATAAATTGTGTTTAAAGAAACAAAGGGAGGAACATATGAAACAGTTGCTTGACGTGGGGAATCACTTGACCTTGGAAGAAATGCACGATTTTGAAATGAGGTAAGTGCGTAACCCAATACAATCATTTTTGAGAGAGCGCTTCTTTGGTTCGTCACCTTTTTCATCATCAAACCTTCACTTTTTTCAGCGGGCATTATGTCACGGTCTAGTATTAATGTTTGCACCCCTAACGGCCGTGTTCGGTGATAAAAATCTATCCGTTTATTCCCAGAAAAATCATATAATAGAAATCGAACGAACAAAACATTTTGAGACGTCTAGAAAACGGTATTTTTTGTACAAGTGGTATTAATGGTAAAATGCAGTTACACTAATCCTCCGTAACTTAAAGGAACATTGGTCTTTGCCTTCAAAACAAACTAGTTTAAATTAAGTAAATAACTACTACGCAAAATTATTACCTACGCTGCAATCTATATAACGCGACAGACTACAACGTAAGAATTTGAAGAAAAATTATTCCTTGAAAATCCTTACTTCAACGTGTCTACTCGCAACTACACCAAGAATAGCCACCGCACAGTACCTTAAGTTCCTTTTCCGCAGTCTTGCTCTGCGATGATATCGACGGTCTTTGGGGTAATAATATCTTGTTGTTCGTCAACCGGAAATATCTTCTATAGGTGATCGTATGATACCAAATCTTCCCCCGGAAAGTGATCGGAGGGTTGGGGGAGACAGGAGTGCTTTACTTTGCGAGTCAGGTTCTTATATAGTTTTTCGGTTTTTCCCATTAACGCCATAAATACCGAATGGATAGCGCCTTTAAATAACTTGGTACGGGTGTGACTTTAGTTTTGTCACTTCAACAATGGGATAGGATAGAACTTCATAACTTCCCCCTCCTCCTTGTAGAATATTTTTGCCGATCGCAGGTTGATAAAATCTACAAAGTCTTCTCTGATAATATCTTGGTAAACACATCTCACAATATATCATCACATATATATCTCACACTTCGCCCTCATTAATCAAACTGCAAATTCATGAAAAGAAGTATCACTTTCAAAACTAGTTGTACAAATAACTATTGTGTCATTTAAATTCCAGATTCCTACAGGAGTCACATTACGAATTAATCGCACTAAATTTCACATCATTACAAAATAGGTTTTACAGGGACACACATATAAGCATGGGCTGGAAAGATGGAGGATTTATTTTTCTACGAATGATCGCATACACAAATGAAGGGTGTCCTCCCTCTAACTAACTTTTCCAATTAGTTGTACTTTTATGGATTTTCGCTGAACTAATTGCAATAGCTTACACGTTTTCCAAAGTCGACACTTCTTGTATCTCCAAATCTCTGAAGTACACGATAAGGGCGTATTGAACGTCATGTTTAGGTCCGATCTGCATTTTCCTCTGTATTTTCATTATGGAAATAGGATGCAAAATCGGTTTGTCTATTCTAAGAAAGCATGTCGCAGTTACAGAATATCTAAGACGTTAAAATTTGAGTTTAATTTGTACTCACCTTGTGATTTATTCGCTGTAAATTGGTAGCTTTGTCAAAGTGTGTATTGCCGAAGCAAAAATAATGGAGAGGAAGAATTTTGTAAATAAACGCAGCAAGAAAGAGAATTACATTTAGACGTTATATTTAGTATTGGCACAGTATACCATAAGTGTGGCGATAAATGGCATAGCAGTAAATAGTTATTTATGCAATGAGTGTATAAATGAGGCGTTTTATTGGTGAGTGAGATGTTTAGTCCACGAGCGCAGCGAGATTAAAATGGTTAGATGGATGGGAGTTCTCAGCTGATGCTGAAAGTGAATTTTTATATAAATTAATGTCATTCCCTTTAATAAAATGGTTGTTATGTATGAGTTGTTGCTAACGATTAATGGTTGCTAATGCATAATGGTTATATATAAGTGGTTGCTAACGATTAATGGTTGCTAACGTATAATGGTTTCTAACCATTAATGAGCTTCATTGTTACACCTGTAACTAAGGTGTAATTTATGTTATCAAGAGGTCGACGAAAAAATTAGGTTAAATTTAGGTTTTTTATCTAGGGAAAACCAGAAAAACGTTCACAAACTGTAATGTGCGTTAAATAGATTATAATTTACTTTTTCCGGTCCATATAATAATATGAAGTTGATGATGGTTCCTCAGAGACGAAACACCGCCATAACAAAATGTGGCCATCATTTTGTAGAGCTCAAGAAGTGCCTATGAGGAAGTGTTATTTGTTTTTGATATATTTTCAAACAGGGCCAGATAAAAATACATACGAATATGGTTAATTGCGGATTTTGTCGAATATCTTTGGAATTAATCGGAATTTCCGAATTTTGAAAGCATCGTTTTACTAAGCCCTAAATTACGCAACTTTTTTTTTCTAATTAAAGCGACTGTGGTTTCCGATTTCACTATGGTGTTCATTCCCATGCAGGACCACACCGTGTATATATATATATATAGCCCTTCAAATTTTGAATTTTGTTGATGGAAGGGATCATCGAAGAAAGCACCTCTCCCTGGAGAGCTCAAGTTTTAATTACGAAGAATGCAACTCATAAAAAGCGTCTTGTAATCGATTATTCACAGACAATAAATAGGTATACGCTGCTGGACGCATATCCTCTTCCAAATATGGAAGAATTAGTATCTAATATATCGAATTATTCTATATTTAGTGCAATCGATCTGCAAAGTGCTTACCATCAGATCCCAATCTTATCCGAAGAACGACTATATACTGTTTTCGAAGCGCACGGAAACCTCTATCAATTTCGCCGAATTCCGTTTGGTGTAACTAATGGAGTGTCAAGTTTTCAAGGAGTTCTTGATTGGATCATTAGAGAGGAAGAATTGGAGGGAACATACGTCTATTTGGATGATATAACCATTTGCGGCAAAACTTTACAGGAGCATGACAAGAATCTCGAGAAATTTATGGCAGCCGCTTCCAAATATGGGCTGACTATTAACAAAGAAAAAAGTAAGTTCTCTCAAAATGCAATTAATATCCTGGGTTATCATATAAAGGATCATGTAATCAGACCGGATCCCGACCGCCTTCGACCACTTATTAGTATGCCGCCGCCCCATGATTTACCTTCATTACGAAGAGTTATGGGTTTGTTTGCCCACTATAGCAAATGGATACCAAGATTTTCGGAAAAAGTCCACGCCTTATCAAACACAAAGAACTTTCCATTAGGGAACGAACTTGTACAACGCTTTGAAGAGCTCAAATCTGATATTGCAAAATCAGCTATTAACGCTATAGATCATAACGTGCAGTTCACTGTCGAAACAGATGCTTCGGATCATTCCATAGCGGCAACCTTATCCCAGGCTAACCGGCCGGTTGCATTTTTCTCAAGAACACTAAATAAAAGTGAATTGTCGAATCGTTAAAGAAATGGCGTCATTTCCTCATTGGCAAACCATTTCGTCTTATTACCGATCAATGATCTGTACCCTTCATGTTTAATAATAAACTGTCAAGTAAAATAAACAAGTTAAAAAGTAATCGTAAACGATTTACATAAAGCGCATTTCCACTTGCATTCATTTCCCATTTGTAAGATGCAACTTCTATTAAAATCGTAAAAATCCGCCCACAAATATGAAAGATAGCGTTGCAGATGGGCAATCCATTGTTGACGTGCTACTTCAATTTCAGTTTATGCGAAGAATTTCATTTCAATGCTTTTCTAAATAAGAAAGTTGGAACTGCGCATGCGCAAAACCAAATTTTGAAATTGGCGTTTGATTTTCCTTTATCCCAAGTGCCTCTGTATCAAATTTCGTTTAAATTCTTCCATAAATAAAAAAGTTGGCACTGCGCATGCGCAAAACCAAATTTTGAAATTGGCGTTTGATTTTCTTTTATTCCAAGTGCCTATGTATCAAATTTCATTCAAATACTTTTATAAGTAAAAAAGTTTGCAATTCGGCTTATAAATGGTCGAGATGCGAAAAGGGCACTGTGAATTTTGAATCGGGCATTGCGTGTTATATGGCTAAATCTATGCCCATATTGAATTTCATGCAATTCAGTTCATAACTAACGGAGATGTAAAAGCGATCGAACATTTCTAAACAAAGTTATGGTTCACACGGACAGATAGATGGACAGACAGACAAAGGAACAGACGGAGAGACCAACCGGCAGGCGACAGATAGCAATCCAAAATTATAAACGATCTCTAGGATCGTTAATAAACGGCAAAAGTGTAAAATTATGGAACATGTAAAAAACGGTTTTTTGTTTTTTTTTACAATAACTTTTTTTTGTAAGCGGTACAGAAAAAATTCCTTCCTTGGTACAAGACTCGACACCATAACGAACCAAATAGCGAAAAAAGTAGAACAATAGCTCTTAAGATAAAAACTAGTAGCGTCGCAAAGTTAGCGGACGGACGGACGGACGGACGGACGGACAAAGTGGCCACAATAGCGCATTTTTTTTTAATTTTTGTGGAAATGCGCTAAAAAAAACTAGAAAATACAGCGCTGGCGTCTGGAATTAGCGCCATTCAAGTATGATATTGTGTACCGACCAGGAAAGCAGAACGATGTTGCAGACGCATTGTCGCGTGTTTGTGCTAATATGCAGACTCGCTCTGATAAACTCATTTCTTTACACGGCGCATTATGCCATCCTGGTGTTTCGAGAATGACACATTGGGTGAGATCGAAAAATTTGCCTTTTTCTGTAGAAGAAATCAGGAAAACGACTAATTCATGTCGCGTCTGTTCAGAAATAAAACCTAAATATTTCAGGTCTGCTACGCCTGGTCCTGGTTTGATAAAAGCTACCTCGCCATTTGAAAGATTAAGTATTGATTTTAAAGGACCAGTTCCTTCTAATACGAAGAATAAGTATATACTCACTATTATCGATGAATATTCACGTTTCCCATTTGCCTTCCCATGCGCTGACATGAGCTCTAAGACAGTAATCAAATGTCTTAATGACATATTTATGCTATTTGGTATGCCGTCTTATCTTCATTCAGATAGAGGGACTTCATTCGTTTCTTCGGAGGTAAAAGATTTTCTAAATTCA